CCAGGATATCAAAGCAAAAATCGGTGAAGCAAGACAAACTTTCAATGCTCTCAAGTCTGTGTAGAGGTCAACAGCACTCAGCATCAAAAATAAGATCCGGATTTTCAACTCCAATGTGAAGTCAGTGCTACTATACGGATCAGAGACTTGGCCAGCGCATCATGAAGAGCATCTCAAACTAACTACACACCTTCATTAACAGTTGTCTTCGCTCAATACTCAAGATCAGATGGCCGGCCAGAAAAGATCAGCAACAGAGATCTATGAAAATGAGCGAACCAAACAGGAACCGATTGTGAAACAAATAGGCAGGAGGAAATGGAGATGGATTGGCTGGCCATGCTCTGAGGAAATCATCAAGTGACATCACTAGACAAGCCATTGCTCGAGTGGAACCCGAAAGGGAAGCGGCGAGTTGGTCGTCAGTGCAAGGGTGACATAGATGAGGAGGTGATGTGAAGAGGAGATGAAAACGTGTGGGCAGACTTGGAGCCAGGTGAAGACTCTAGCAGAGAACCGAACACAGTGGACACGCACGGCTGAAGCCCTATGTTCCTGTAGGAATTAAAGAAAACAATAATAATAATATAATGGGAGATAAACCAATGTGCTGTGAGGTAAATCAGAGGAGTGTTGCAGTTCAAGAGAGATAATGAAACATCTGTACATTATATGCACGGAATACTGTTCTTCCATGACAACCAGTGAACATGATTTCTACATGGATTTTAAGGTCCTTAGTCTTATTTTCAAGGTGAATTCATTCCGCTCAACATCCATAGGATCTCACCAATCACGTATCCTCTACATATTGGTATTTGATAAACGCCTTCAACTATACGAAATATTCCGGCTACTGTGTCATTCAGGATTGTGGAAAAGAGAACACGTTGCTCAGCGAGGAGTCTCCTTGCGACGAATTCATTCACTTACCTGTACTATCGCAATTACATTAAGAATCATTATTGAATATGTGTGTCTGTGTGTAAATCAGGCTTCTTGGATAATAATAAAAATAAGTCAAGGATATTCCTGCCTAGATGAATAACTTGACTAACTTAATTTCTTTTTTATCGGAGAAGTTTAATAACACACACATAAACGCATTTAGAAATATAACTGCGATTGTACAGCTCAGTGAACTAACAATTTCAACTTTATTATCCTTACTGTGCTACGTTTTAATCTTCCCCAAACTTGCGATTTCCTGGTCAACTGGGAAAGGACTTTGCAAATTAGGAAGAATATCAGCAGTTTTCAAAAGCTTGTGTCATTGATGTGACTGACAGAGAAATTACGTCTGGCACAAAATACCTTGGTATACTTCTATCCACTGAGCTTACTCGGTCATCCCATACGTCGTTGATTCCCAAGAAACAGTTTCGTCTATGCTACTACTTAATGATGCTAAGACAAACTGGAATCAATCAACCTCTACTTTAAAAATCGTGCAACTCTGCTCTCCTACCTACCTACAGTACGTTACGACTTCCCCAAACTTGATCTTTCTTGATCAACTGGGAAAGGACTATTTCAGTTTACGAAGGGTTCCAGCAGTATTCAATAGGACCAGCGGATTACAACTTAGTCATTCAGCTTGTCACTTACTACATTAGTTGTTAGACATATCAACGCATGTGAGAGATGGTCTGAATCCACATTTTCTCACCCTTAACACCAACCATCTTTATTCTAATCTCTTAACACACACGTGTATCTCATCTGACAGATGTAAGAGTCAGCGAAAAGATCAAATGCCCATACTTCAAAGTGTAGGAACACAAAGGTTTCATACGATGGAGACAATGTTGAATGTGAAGCCTATAAACTACTTCGCTGTTAGCACAATAATCGGCTCTCTCATTATCTCCTACTTGCAATCTTTGCTGACTTTGTCTCAATCAACTGACAATCTTAGCTACTGACATGAATATTATTTCGCTGTATGGGCAACTTCACTGTAAATACAGACACGCAATGAGAACTGTCACTAACAATCCTGCAATGGAATCTTTGTTGTTGTTTTTGTTGTTATTCGATAAAATTGAATGCGGTACTGTTCCAAATTCTGAGAATCCACACTGTATCACTAGTGGGGCTTGCGAATAAAGCAAATTATTTTTATGGTCATTATCAAATAAGGAGATGACCGCAATATGGAAGCGATGAAAGCCATCTCATATAGTCTCTAGTAGGTACCATGAAATGGTTTCAAATTAGGCGGAAATGATTTTTCACTACAACCAGAACTATAGCCATCATATCTGGATCACACAACTCATCCATCAGTTTTGTCAAGTGAATTTCAGAGATAGAGTGACCTGCATGTATCGTGTTTAACTCATGCATATCAGTGATATATTGAAACAGTGAGTGTACAGCGTGTAAGGGTAGATACTTTTTGGAAACTAACCAACCTCCTCAATTGCGTTCATAATAAATTATCACAAGCCCACACATGAAAATAACGCATGACACCTGCTTCATATCGCACGATGAAAGCATGTACACAAGGCGGAATTATTTGTGTGATTCCAGGTCAACTTCATGCACTGTTTGTTTTATGAAAATTTGTAGGTGTTATTAATGATTTGTATTTCAGAAGTAATTTCATAGAATGAGAGATTTTCAGCCATGATATTGCGTCGAATGCAAAATAGTAGTGAGAACTGCAGGCAAATCAGCTGTGCGGATTTCCCACATCGCCTCACTGATGCAATTCACATACTGCATATAAGACAACTGACTTCACTCACAATTCAACTGAATCCGTCGCGTCTCACATTTTGTCTACCTGAATGCACTTCACCACTGTTCGTTGTGTGCATTTCACTTGTAATTTACAACATCAGTGTGAAGATCACTGCAGTCAAGTTATTCACTGTTCGAGCTCTAATTGAATGCTTCTATTTGTTGTTGTGCAAAATATTGATAATGTGCGGATTGGCGATGTGGTTCTGGTTGAGTGATTCAAAGTGATTCTATCTTTTGACAAATCTTGGGATGCTTCTTAACTGCATTAGACTTGACCGAAAAACTCAACATTTTGTAACCACACATTGAATACATCTCCAATGGAGAAATTACTGGATTTCGTTAGTCACTAATTGTGACGAGGAACGAGGAAGCTCCGGATCTGCTCTCCTTGATTTATGCCTCTTGTTAAGCTGAATCGAGTGAGATGGCTGAAATTTGTCTCACTTACACAACGTGATCGCATGACTCCTCCTTACTAACCTCCGAGCTGAAATCCAATCACGATGAGAAAGTGTAAGGAGCAGTCAAATCACAATCTGTTGTCAATTACCGAATCCTTTAACTGTTGCTTTCAGCCAGGTGAGATGGTGTGGGTTTTCTGGTGTAGGTCATGGAGATTCTGAGAACCAATCTCTGGTGACTGTCATTGTTGGAGTCGACATCGTTCAGAGCGGTGAAAACGCATCCAACATTTATCAACTCGTGAAAGCGTCAAATTCTCATCCTTCGACATTCTGACACCTGCAGAACACATTACCTTCATAATATTCATAGAATCCAGACAGGAGCTGGCACTAAAATATTATATCACAGATCTTTACAAACCGGATAATTGATATAACGTGGAATTTCAGTGGAAAAGATTGCACACGAACGAAAACGATCCTCGCCTCAAAATGGTCAATTCGGTGTTGTATAATACAAGGGAATAGAGCAACTCTTTATAGACCTGCAAGTAATTCTAGTGAATCCAACAACTCTGGTGTGAATTACAGCAATTCTGCTTAACCAAATCATCATGATGTGCAGTTAGATAGATGTTACTTCTGAGAATACATCCACTATAATTTAAAACCCACCTTTAAGACATTCTATAAAGTACAATATAAACAATTTATGTTTACGCGGTTGGTTTTGATGTAGTTATGCAAACAATTCAGGCCTACTCGTGAAGCTCTCATTGCTTATCGCACTCTTCGAATTTTCGAAGTGAGCTTTGAGATTAACCCACTACCTTATCAGTCAGCCCACCTGGTGACTGTGAATGTCGAGATTGTTTGCTCTTCCCCGTTTTCACACTGTCTAGTCTATGAATTAATGTTACACACAAAGCGAAAAGATCACTCCAGTCGGCTGGCTCTAAGTCTACTGAAAGACTCAAAAGAGAAACGAAAAACAAATATCATCTTTAAACTATGTTCCAACGACTGAGAAAAACACCACATTAGTCAAAGTGGATGCCCTGTCTGGCCACACATCCACGAGCAAAACCTAGCCGTCAGAAGACTCGATGACATCCGCCACCAAACATCGCTGCATACAGACAACCATGAATATCATTCTGACTGAGGCAATCAACGCTCAAATATTCGTTGGTAGAAACGCCAAGTACGCCAGATGTTGCCAATCCATCAGAGGAGAATGTCATGCACAAAAGGTGAAACTTCAGGTCAAGAAACTATCAGTACCAATATCACAAGTGGCATAGAGGGTGTGAAAACAGAGGAGAACAATCAATCACAACATTTGCGGTCACCATGACGCGTGACTGAGAAACTCATGGAGGAATTTCAAAGCTCACTTCGACAAACTGAAGTGTGCGCTGAAAATGTAGCTTAGTAAGGCAGTGAAGGATTCACAAGTAAACCATGCAGCATGGGCAACGTAAGTTCGTAGAAAACATTCTACGACGAACCTGCATCTTCACGGAATAATACAGCGTCCATATCATCTCTGGTGAATGCGGGAAGTCATGGAATGATTGATTCACAAGAACAAACCGATGACATTTTGTGTATCACTGAAATAAAATTATATTTTCTTATGATGCTGAAGTGTCACAAACATCAGGTGGACGCCATTACATAAATTCTGCTTACTATTTGGATTAAAGTGTTTCTACAGATTGACGAATTTCATCGCACCTATCAGATTCCGCCGATTCAATATGTGAGTCGCGTGACATCATGAGGCGTTGTTTCACTCACCAATCACAACACTCACAGTCTTCCACAAATGAATGATGAAATCGTAATTATTGTAATCAACCAATCATCACATCACAACACTAACTGTGGCTGCTTGTTTTGGTATGAATAAAGGAATGGAAATTCATCTACCATAAGAAGATGGTCTACTCCGCATACAGCCAAGTAGCTTTCCTAACTCTGTTGGCATTTTCAGTCATAAATTCAGGTAAGCATTTTTTTCAAAGGATGGTATATTTGTGGCATAATATTTACGAAATGTTTGCCTTATTGACTAGCACTGTTGAATATTTCGCTAGTCACTTCCACAGTTCTTTCTTCATGGTTGAGCTCACAATTCGAAATAGTCACTTTTGTATATACTTTCATCTCGAATTCATCTTGCACGATAGATGGTGACCAGCAGTGTAATAGTACTCGTGGAGGCGTCTCTCCTCTTTATTCCGACTCAGAGACTATGTATATTAACAGTTGTACAGTGACATGCTCTCTCATTCGGATACTTTTTTCGTCTAAAATTCCTAAAGATTGTCCAAATACACATTTTGAGATGATGTGTTTCTGCACTGCAATGGCATACATATAGCCCTCTGTAGGAGATTGATACCTTTCAAGTGGATAAATTGTTCTGATTATCTTCATTGATATGAAACTTCTCCTCTGTATAATAATTGTCGTCTACACTTCCTCATTTCATTTCAAGAAAAATCGGAGGAAATAACTTCCCTTACTAGGTGGCTGGAAGGAAATGAAGGTAAGTGTGAATAATGTGCATATTATTTGAGGTTGATAACCTTCTTGGGAATTTGTCATAGCAATTGCTTGAGAATAGTGAAAGTCTTACAATGATCGTTGTAGTCAAGGTCTTCCTTGACGAATCGAAAATTGATATAATATCATTAGAGACAGTGTGGAGAATGATTGGCGTACCTGAAATTACTTCAGACATCTTCAATTATACATTTGCACTCAATCATCTTATGTGACATATAACAATTCATTCAAAATATTCTCGTCTCCCCACAGTTAAAATAAAAGAGGTAATTTCGGAGCTCAAAGCTGCAGAAGGGAGAGCACAAAATATTACAGGTATATGAAACCTGAAATTTTACTGTTGATAATATTTTCACACCGACGAAAATATGCTTCGAATTATTCTTTCGAAATTATTGCTAATGATGACATCAATCATGTCATCTAGTATGTAGCATATATTGACATAAAACTTTCAACCCTTCCGCATTTCTGTTTCTTAGCCAAGATTCTTAGTCAGAATGCAAGCTTACGAGGAGAAATAGAAAACTGTAAGCAAACCGTATTTATTGAAGTGATGGACAACCTATTTTAGATACGGACTGCCTGGAAACTGCATACAAAAACAAGTGGGGACAAATCCTATTTGAAAGTGCGTGCTAAGAAATTCTTTTCATTTTAAACATAATTGTATTCGCAAAATTTACCCAGTACACTGTGCTTCCATTTAATGAGTCAGAAGTCACTTTCTTGATATACTCCCTGCTGGTGATATGCTCTCTCACCGATCATTTTAGTAAGAAATAATATCTATTCGACTGCGGCGTCATGAGTCTTTGCAAAGTTGTTAGCTCAAAATTTATGAGGGCCACTAAACATGCCAATGTGTTCCTTCCTTCCTATCTTTCCTAAATATAGCACGCACTATCTTCTACGGTAAGCTAGATATTTGGAATCATTTCTATACTTATCTACTATCGCAATTATTTTTCGTCAATATTCTGGCTTATATTCACGTGTTACCATCTCAAGTATCATTATTTCATTCATGCCTTTTATTTGCTAACGTCAAATGAAGATGGAGAATTTCTTCATGCACCGATGAACATGAGGAAGTGATTGACGAAAGATGTTTGACTGTTGTGAATCTCATTTCGGATATTCGTTGACAATTTTTAGACTAGTGAAAAATTATTTCATTCGCCTCAATTATGATTGTGTTTGCATTCAACCTGCATCAATGTGTATACGTATTCTATTTAAAACAATGGGAATAGATTGATATGTGAGAAACTAATTTATTTACAGTTGATCGCAAAATAACTCATGAAATAATAAATTGTTACGAACACCAAGCCTGGGAATATTATAGTAAGTAACAATTAATTACGCTAATCGGTGCGAATTATTTTGTCTTTGTGGAGTAACGATTTTTGAGATTCCAGTCTCAATATAATGAAACTGTTTTTATTCCCTCACTCACCCACAAATAGGAAGAACGCAGAGGTTTACTGTAGATAAATGTCAGAAAAATCTACCATCGTCAAATCAAGAAGGTATTCGTTTGTTCCTTTTTACATTTATGGTGAAATGAGCAACATTTTCACATACACCTACGATGAAGGTATATTTTCACATGTCGCAATACTTTCATCATGAATTGATTTCAAGAACATCCACCTCGTATTGTACGATGTTATATGATGAGGATTTTTCAAGAGTCAAAAATTGATTTATGAAGGAGGATAAACAACTATAGTGTCTAGGATGTGGTCAGCCTTCCACTGATGAAATTGTGTAGATGGTGTGATTGAAAGTAACAGCACACCAAAAGACAATTTACTGACTGTGAAACTGTATAGGCAGTTACATAATGAACTGTTGATTGTGGTATGCACATGGTGCAAAGTTGACATCATGCAAGTGGATGAGTTTGTGAAGTGAAACAGATTGTTTTCCATCATTCCAAGTCACGTAATTTTGTTTTAAATCTCATAACTTGATTCTGAGAAATCCACTCCGGAAGACACATTCCTTCATGAATTGTTTCAGATCTGCAGGAACTGAAAGAACAAATTGAAGCAGTATTCTACAATAACAAAGAGTTTAGCGCTAAAATTCGTGAGTTCATTTTCTCAGTATAACTTATAGTCAGTGACAATCTAATATTAGTTATCATGCGAACTCAGTGATAGAAAACAATCCTTTTCACTTTTCAATTCAAGTATTCCTCAACATGTTTTATTATTTTTAGTTGATAAAAACATTTACACAACTTACTTGAAGACGTTGACAGGTGAGATATATTTTGCATCAACTTCCAGTCTCAATCATGCAAAAGTGACTTGCGAGGAAAAGGTCGGTTAATGTAGTGCAGCTAAGAATCTCCAAGACACGAGATGTGAGACAGTCTGGATGGAGGATGATAAGTGGACGAAGTACAACACAGGATTCGGATATTCACTGCAACTGTTAGATGACATTTTTCACCATCTACTACTCTCCCACCATACAGCACAAATATAGGTCAATGAGTGTGTGGTTCAAATTGAAATCTCGAAAACGCCTGTTCAACCGAATGGTGAAAGCATCATCAGTGGCGTTGTAAGTTACCATGCGGATATCCCACAATGAATAATATCGTGGCAGTTCTAAATAGACAATATCATGAATGTATGAGAATACACATGCACACTTCATAGGCGACAATGAGGATATGCAAGCAAGTCAGCGAATTCCACACGAGTCTTAGTGAATTACTGAAAGAGAGCAACTCATGTACTCAGACAAACAATGAGAATTGAAACTGTCACTCACTGAAAATACTCAGAATTCTCGGATTGCATGAATAAGCATACAGTTCACCAACAATCATCCTTCTCTCCAGTACACGTGTTTCTTGATTACTTCACCACTCATATTTTATTCAAAAATACTGCTAACTGATTTTATTCTCATACAGGAAATTGAAGAGACGAGAACCAGGATGAATGTTCAAGTCGGCGTACTACTGAATAGATGTAGATTGTGAAAGCTTTCGTAAATATTTTCTTTTCAATAAAATAAATTAAATAAATCAATTATCTGCTACACCGATTTCTCTTCATGAATTCAAACGTTTATTGCACTGCTGGTTATGGTCGGGTGTGGTTAATATTCGAATACGTGATGGGAAATTTTGTAGTGGGATGTCGTCGTCAGGAATGTGTTAGGGTGAGGCTGTCCCTTCAGAAGAATCTGCATTAGATACTTCTGAGAGGAGACAGCGTTTTCATGACACAAATTGTCCGTTGTCTTATTCACACGCATGAACCCTTTGGCACATTCAATTGGATCTATTGGAAAACGAAAGCGTGCAGACATAAACGTGTAATTGACCTCAATTGGAATACAATTGAGTCAATCAATGTTTTTCGAGTGGTTAATCACGGAAAACACGGACTAAATGGATCAAGAGCACGTAAAACAAGTTCCGACACGATTTGCAATCGAAATAGTTGAAGCGACTTATGTTACCTATTAATTACAGTATCTAACATAGTTATAACAGTTATGCTCCTCATCACTGATACGAAGTAAGTACATCTGAATGAAAACATGCCGGATGATTTCTAAATACGCTGAAATGTCTGTAGAATGCACATCCATAAATCTGTATGTAACGGACGATGTGGAATAGTTTGGGTGTAAATAGAGGGAATGGTTTATTGCATCCCAGAGTCTGCTATTTGAAACTTCCTTGACAGACTCACTATCACGTAGGTCTAAAGAGGCAGCTAGACGTTTGCTATTAGTCGTAAAATATGGTAGGTTGCATTGAACATCGATGATGATAACATGTCGATAAGCAGCTATGTGGGCGAAGGAAATTCCAAGCACAAAACGAGTAGAGTAGGGCATAATTAAACAACCTAAATTCGACCGGAGAGATTACGCGAAAACCAAGTCAGACATTCACTATATGGTGAAAGCCACTTTTTCAAACACCCATCAACAATTCCATATTAGTTTGTTTATTTGATATATCACACAGTGAAACAGTATTATTTACTGGATGACGTTTCGAACAAAATTTATTGTTCATAATCATATCAATTATTATCATACGACTTTGACACTTGAGTTTTATAGTTTTCTTTGTTCTCTCCTATTTGTCGTTTGGGTAGTAGAATTTTCCAGATATCCTGGTGGACAGGTGATGAATCATTCCTATTACATGTATTTGTAGTTGATTCAATAAACAAAGCTTCTGTTATCAATCTCTCCCTATACCCTGTGACATTAGATTTTAAAACTGTCATCCTATCCCATCCTATTGTGTGGTTGTGTGTAACTGCATGTAGTGCTATAGCTGAACTATTCTCTAGATTTCTTATCTTATTCGGGTCAACCGATCGAGATTTTGCTAGGTTTTTATGTTCAGCTAGTCTGACTGCCCCTGTTCTACTAGTTTGACCTATGTATTTGATCTAACAATCATTACAGGGTATGAGATAAACTAAATTGTTTTGTTTTAAGGGCTCTACAGGATCCTTTAACCGACAAAGCTTGTTTCTAATTGAGTTTGTGGGTTTGAATGCCATTTTTATTCCTGCCTCGTTAAGAATTCTGCGAAAGGCTTCCGAGGTTCCTTCCTTGTATGGAATTACTACTGATGATTTAGATTTCTTATTATTGGTGTCGTCATTAATATTATTATTATTATTAACATTATTATTATTATCACTATCGCCACTATCATTATTTATTTTATTTTTACATTTCCTTACATATTTCTTGATTAATTTATCCGGGTAATTATTAAGTTTCAAAGCTTCTTTTATGTGTATCAGTTCCTGTTTTAGATTTTCTTTGGTACTACTTAGTTTTTGTGCTCTGTCATTTAAACATTTCACCAATCCTATTTTTACTGACATAGGATGGGACGATCGGAAGTCTAAATATCTGTTTGAGTGTGTGGGTTTCCTGTAAACACTAGTGTTTAACTTCCCATCTTCTTTCCTCTTTACATTGCAATCTAACATTGGGAGCTCCCCTTCCTGATTTTCCAATTCATTAGTGAATTGAATTGCTTCAACCTTCGAGTTGATGTGTTCGAAAAACCTATCTATATCATGTGTTTTAAGTACAGTGAATGTGTCATCGACATACCTCCACCAAACTTTTGGGGTGGGGGTGAACGTTTCAATCGCTATGTTTTCCCACTTATCCATGAATATATCTGCTACAACTGGGGATTTTGGTGATCCCATGGCAACTCCTTCAGTTTGTTTGTATATTTTCCCTTGAAATTTAAATACTGTGGAAGTCAGACATAGCTGTACTCCCAGCATTATGTCCTCAAGTGGCACTTTTGTCTTAAGTTCGAGTTCTTGGTCAGAAATGAGTTCGTTTCTGACTGCCTTTATAGCCATATGTATTGGTATACGTGTGTATAAACTGACAATGTCAAAACTAACCCATCAACAATTCACGACTACATTCCAGGGTGAAAACCACCACCATTCTCACAAACTAAGTCACACTGTAAAACAACATATTATCTCGGTATCGTTAAACTACAAATAGAAGGATTGAGATTAGAGATTTATCAGAGAGAAAGACAAATATTAGGCATGAAGTGAACACACGAAATCCGAGTGTAGGAACAATGATGCGTAATCCAGGAGGAGAGAGGATGTTAACTAAAACGTTAGTTGAAATATTCAAATGAGGATAATTGCCGCAACTAGCTGGTTCACGAGGGAACTTTTGTGCAACTACTCCGTCACACTGTAGCCTTATGCATTCGTTACAAATCGAACAGACTGTTGAGAATATTCGAGATTGAGAAGTCAATCACATTCGAATAGAAACCTTGAGGTTGATAAACGTGCAGATGAGAAATGGCACTATGCTTATATCAGTTTCCGAATAGTTAGTGCAGTAAACGTCAGAATGGAGTTTGGAGAAATCTTTAATTCTGACCTGTATTTGTCCAGTTCCCAAAATGTAATTCAAAGGGAAAATTCCTTCACATATGAGACGGCATTTCTCTATCCTGTATATCACATATAATTCAGTTGCTTCGTAAACTCAGTCAAGTGTTGAATGATTAGTGTTTTAGGATTCAAGTGAGGTTATTGAAATCGACAGAAACTTCAGCCATTGGAAACATTACGCATTTCTGATATCAGTGTTTCATCTTTCTTCCTTGGCACATCACATTATCAAAATATTTAACAAATTCACTGATGAAGTCAACAGCCAGTTTGACACCATGTGTAATGCATTTCACATCATCTCAGCTCATCCGTGATAATGCACAAACGGATAGCCAATTGGAGAGCCTGAAATATAGAACGTTGACATGTGAAGTATGTTTATTGCAGACACTGTAACCTCCAGTGATATCAATTCTTTTTGTGCATACCACGTCGGTTGAATCAACAGCTTGATATGAAGATTTGACTGTTTATATTCACTAATACCTTCATTTATAAATATCTCAAAGTCACTGTGACACTTGATATGTGATGCTTCCTGACTCATTCGCCAATCACTCAGTGATTTCACTCATCAAATAGACAGAATATTCCAAGAAAGATACATGACGTGTAGAGCTGACCTGAGGCAAAGCAGTTATGGGCATTTAGTTGACCGGATTCCTGATGTTCGTTTCACTTGATTCCACAATGAGTCTAAAAAATTTATTTCACATAACGATTTCAGATCAATGATTTCATACATCTGACTTTACATCGTCAACCATGTGGATGCCAATTCAACTGGCGGTTCACTATGGGTTATTTCTGATTTTAACTGTAAGCATTGAAAATGCAATGATTCAGTGATCTACAGATGACGTGGAATTATCTTCTCAGTCAAGATAATATTCTTGAACATTCACATGATCCAAGCGTTCATATTTTCAACACTCAAATGTGTGTAGAATCGCTACTTGGATGTGTTAGTTACAACGTGAATCTCAAATGTTCATCAAGATTTGTCTTTCACTATACACAGCCAGCTGCCCTGACACTATCGGTAGTTGTAGACGTAAGTTGTGGGGTGATAATGGCGATTTCATGAACACATTCATTGAACAATTCATAGTGCATGCGCCTTTTTAAGAAAGGTTCATCATATCTTCACTGAATACTATACATTAATCAGGGTTGCTATCATTAGTCAAACATGTTCGTCAGGGCGATGAAAGCACAAGGAAGCACACCACTGAGGAACATATTATGCCAAGAATGTTATTCAAGCACTTCTTATGATGAAGTGTGACAGTGAGAATAGCATCAGGTATACGGTAGTGAGAACACCAACCAGTTTGATGATTAATGTCCACTGCTCACTCCACTGCTATTTCCATTTATTCTCACTCTCACATATTTCGTTATTCAGTCTTTGTTCTCACCTCTGCTATCCTAATTGTCTGGACAATCAACAAATTCACTTCTCATTCATTAGCAAGTTTATTCTTCAGTGTAATTTAAACATTTCTCTGGTGATTACGGTGTAGAGTATGAAACGTCATTCAACAATAAAAGTCACTTCTGAGGGGCAGACCTATGTAAAACAAGAAGTCGTCTCATTACTCAATAAAGACCTGCTTATATTTGACTAAATCGAAATCAGTTCTTCGTTCTTCCAACTATTGTGATACCAGATGTGTTAAGGGAATCCTGCGGTTCAGGATATATACCGAAAAACGTTGTTTATGAAATGCTCAGAATGAATCGAGTATTACTAACTGATTGGTATTTGATAAACGCCACCAGACTTATGCAATATCACGGTATCTGCTTCACAACTGATCATCCAAGCTCTCGCATTATTGGCAGCCATGAGATGACTCCATCTAAATCTGTTTGATCTTTCACCTTGTGAGCAGTTTCAATGGAATGATGTTCACAGTGATGCTGTCAATCCGAGTCCAATATGTAATTCACGACGAATGTTGAAATGTGACTACGAATAACATACGTGAAAATATAAAAGGCGCTTCACTTTTGTTTGAGTTCAGCTGTCTCATGTGCAGCAAGTGATGTGGATCAGTGTGACAGGGTAGAAAATTTGATTCAGTCAATTCAGCTTCCGTT